TTTCTTCTCACTTTTCAAATAGTTGAAATTGTTGTTTTCTCAATATGAGATATACTGATGTGTTTTTATATCTTACAGCATCATTGCTTAACACATACAGTTAATAAATTTCAGCTGATTAGTGTATGAAAATTCATGCAGGTGAATATGAGTAAATTACATTAAACTGCTTGGATCACTGGAAATATATATTTCAAACACTTTATTTAAAATAACTTTCACGATATTTTTAACTACACCTTTCACATTTAAATATATATTGTAACCTGAAGACTGCAACTTACAGGTTAGCTTCACAAGTAAATGAGTAAATGACCTTGGATGTTACACTTAGCGATGAATGTTTTTGTCAGTAATAATCTTTTATATAATCCAAGACCTTATATGTAAACGTTGATAAATGGTTCTTTCGTATAAAATAAGCTTAACGAAGTTCTTGAGATTCCCATTTATAATAGCATTTATCATATTATTGTGCTGTATGCCAAATTTATAATTAGAGACAATAAAAGAAGTAAGAATTTTTTTATATACAATGATTTGATTCTATTAGTCGTTTTGAGAAATTTCCAAAGACTGAACCCGCAGGACCCCACAAGTAACAATAAAATCAGCTCAATTACTATGTTCAACATAATATGAGCCATACTTTGCAGATCAAGGGAACTAAATGTAAATCTTTTGACTCGACTGCAGTCAACGTTATAAGAAATCAACGATACGAAAAAGCCATCATGTCCAGTTTTCAGTTATTAATTTGTTCAGACAGTTCTTCTCATTTAAAACTTTTGCATAAATAACGGTATTTTATTTTTACTGAATCAAGCGTTCAAAATCTATCCCTATTTTTGCAGTGTAACAAACGTTCTACGTATGCGATTGTAATGATCATTGTTTTCATTTATTTTTCGACCAGCTTCCTTTGTCTTTCCCTGAATACATTTTGTGATTCGTTTTCATCGAAAAACAGTGGAAAATATAATTATCCCGAGCGGTGAGCCATATGAACTGCAGTAATTGTTTCCAAATGATTTGTTCACACAAAACCATACTTCCTCGATAATGTATAATATATTACTCTGGAAAAATATTTCAAAAACATGGAAATAAACAATATTTATCATACATGCAAATGATCTACGACTAAACGTTACGTCTACGAAATATTCTTCACGAATCAAAAGAAGGTATTAGATGGTAAAGTGTTTTCATTAAAGAAACAGTGAAAAAGTCTTCAGGGCATATATTGATTGGCTCGAATTTCAAAACATCACACTTAGACAATCCAAAGATTATATAATGACGTTGATCGCAGCCGAAAAATTTTATTTCGCCCGTACTCGCATGCATGATACGCAATCTTAAAACTCGTATTGTTTTTGCAGTACTTTTTGTTTGATATGTAGATGGAAAAAGGATACACTTTGGGCGAAATATTCATTTTTGGTGAAATGACTTGAAATGACTTCTAACGCATTCCTAGATTACCTATATAATTTATTTTGCGGTTAGGAAGAGGACAAGCTGTCTTGACGGTTCTGTGAGCAACGTGAGTAAATAAGTGATGATGCGGGTCTAGATTTATTGAGTTACCGTCAAATGTTCACGTACGATAAAAGGAGTTAAAATGAGTGAATAGTTACTATGAAAATAGTGATATTCAGTTGAGAAACAACTTTCATGAACGCTTAAGATACTGTGAACTGCCAAGCGTTATCCGAAGTTTCAGATAATTCGTTTCACTTGAAAATGATCAAGTGACATCTCAGTCAAATTGTGATCCTTCTATTTTTACAATTGTTCATAATGTTCATTTCAAATAAGAAAATGTCTGTAAGAACACTCAGGTAATACACATTATTTCGGCCCGGAATTTCAGTTGAATTTCAGTTCATTTATTCGTAGTCATTTAGTGACAATCAAATATTTATATAAATCGTCATACGGAAATTAAAATTGTGTTTGAAACTTGCATTATCCTGCATCAAGTTACATAGTCCAATTTTAATAACAGACATATGATGAACGTTACACAGTTGATAAGAAAGTGAGAAAAAGCAATCACGTGCATGAAGTTTCATTGCCCTTACTACTAAGGCACAAGTCTCTGTATTTTTAGGTGGTTCACTTCACCTTCATATGACAATCAGTCAATTATGAAACACAGTATCGATTTCATACAATAAAAGGAAGCAAATTGAATGCTTTAAGACATCTGTTCTGTTCGAAAGGTCAAGGGGCTTTCATGAAATATCCTTCGACATTATTCATTTTCTTATCATCAAGCGCAAACGTTCCGCAATCGTTAAATTCCGGTTATTTTACAAAACAAATGTTGAGTGATTTGCAGAAAATCAAATCAGAATGCATCATCAAAATCCTAATCGATCATGAAATGTGCAATAAAAATAAAGTTGCAATGAATGTTATTTAGTTGGTCAATAAATCGCATTGAATTTTGGACCAATACTGAGCGAATACAATTTTATATCGAGCGGAAGTTCTGTAATTACACTAATTCTTTAAAAGTAGATATTCAAAATTATATTTCCAAAGCTCTCAGGAATTTGAAATAAAAAACCACACTTATTTGTAACCAAACTTCAAAATGAAGTAAGTGATGAACGACATTTCGGGTAAATTGCAAGATCCTTAGTTCTCAAAAATAGTGAATCGATCTTACACTGTCAAAAAGGTTAACGGATCCAATAGGTAATCAGCTTATAGCAAGTTCTGACATTTTTCTACATGTACTGGTTACTTTTGTATAGAGAGGTACTTCATCGTACTCAAGCCGGATTGCGTGACAAACTTAACAAGATGAAACGCTGTTCGCTGAGATATGACAACAATTTTGTGTAAATAGTAGCAGGTTTGTTGCTAAAAGAGTGCGTTTTGATTGAAATGCAAGCATTTTTACTCCTTTTTAGAAACACTTTGTACGAAATACGGATCAAAATTGTGTTTTTCTAACACGTTAGCTTATTGTAAACAATATATCTTAACAATGTTACCTACGTAGTCAGTCAAAATCATTTTGAAACAAAAAAAATGTCAAACATTCAAATTTGTTTATCTTTTTTAAAATGCTTCAATTTAATATCTTCAAAATAAAGATGGTTTACTATCTTTTTCACTTTCGCCCTTTCATAAACATTTAATTAATCACAGAATTTTTCCTTGCCGTTCTCAAATCTATATCTCAGTGTGATCAGTAAATTTTTGAAACAATATGAAATGTTATTTACATTTATTGATTATTGCAGAAGTCGAAATTCTCGCAGGTATTACTGTTGCCATAAGAATCGATTTCAGAAATCTCGCAGTTACTTTTTAGCGAAGAATAGTCAAAAGTAATTGATTTATCATAATTCGTGTGAGCTCATTTTTTGAACATGGTATTTTACTGATTCTTCAACCAGTCTATAGTTATGTCCATTCTCAATAATGTTCGAATTATTCTTCGATTAAAAAAAAATTTGTTATGATAATGTAGATTCATTAGCCCGATATAACATGAAAATATTATCTTCCAATTTTCCATGAATAGTGAAGGCTCTCATTTTTTTGATATTGTGCTCTAACTTAGAATAAAACAAAAAGATATCAAAAGGTGATGTTCAATTTACAAAAATATCACATAAAATAACGTCGGTGATCATGAAAGAAACGATACTTTATATGAATGACATTACGTTGCAGGTCATATTACGCGAAATGTTTAAGTATATATTCAGGTAGGAGTAAGGTTAATAAATTTTGTAGTTGACTTTTTTTTCGGAAGAATGCACAGACTATGTTTCTCGAATTACAGATTGAAGGAATATCAATTTACGATGCGCACACTGACAACCAAAAAATGCTATTCTCAATGAAAATAAAAGGGCGAATTTTGATTCTGAATGACAGAAATTACCATTATATATATATATATATATATATATATATATATATATATATATATATATATATATATATATTACAAAGCCTTCTCACTTCAGACTCGGATTCAAGGTATCCTACCTGGACGCTGGTTTATTGTCTCGTTCGCGTTTTCGTCTAAATTAAACTCGTGAAGCCTCGAGCATACTAAGTGACGAACTTATCAGTGGCGACGGTGCTTTTGGAAATATGGATCCTGCCAAACTTGAACTTTTACTTAAGCAGCAGCTGAAACTGATGCAGATGTTGACAGACATGGAGATTTCCCCTTCCACACTGCCCAGCTCATCTAACGCAACCACAGCTGCATCGGTCGACGGCATCGCAAATAGCATAGCTGAATTTCATTATGATTCTGATGCGAATGTCACTTTTGACATGTTAATACGGCGTTATGAATATTTATTTAAATTTGATTTCGCCAATCAAGATAATGCTTGGAACGTTCGGCTACTACTTTGAAAGTTGGGCGTAAGCGTGCTCGATAAGTACAGCAATTCGATCCTTCCTTTGAACCCCTAGATTGTTCATTTTCTGAGACTGTTCAGACTTTACGTCAACATTTTGGCGATAACTCGTCACTGTTTATTACTCAATATCGTTGTTCGAAGCTAATTATGAACGACGATGATGACTTTTTTTTGCATGTGGGCATCGTTAACCGTGAATGTGGTTGAAGTCTTTGTCGGAAGATCAGTTCAAAGCCCTTGAACTCATCTGCAGCCTCCAGTAGAGTAAGTTCAGTGATATTAGAACAAGGCTACTAAGTCGTTTAGAGCAAGATCCGAAGCTCACGCTTAATAAAATTGCTCATGAATACCAAAGTCTCACTAACCTAGAACGAGACTCAACTATAGTTCAGAGTGGTACTTCATGCAGATCTGAAATTCATTTTGTACAGAAGCCACCTTATCATAATAAGTCTGCTCATGCTACTTCCAGTTCATCCCGCTACAATTCTGCCCAAAAACCTAAAATGAATCCCCCTCCTGCTTGCTGGCACTGCGGCTCATGGCACTATGAACGGAAAAACCAATTTAGGCTTTTGCCTACAGAAAATGCAAAAGCGATCTAGAAGTGCCAAGAAGCATGTTCCTATATCCAGTACAAATGCATTGAGCCCAATATCTTCTTGCCAAAGCTCATCAACAGGTGAGAGGAAATTTATTACTCCTAATAATAACGGTTATTCGTGTAGAATGCAAAAAGAAACTGTATCTGATATCACTGTCCTCTCACGCAGAAATTGGACCAATTTGTGTGGCCCAAGCTTGCAGCACACAACACAGAATCCTCGTACAACATGTGGTAATTGTCTTCGTCTGTTAGGACAATTGAAATGTAAAGTTGCTTTCCGAGATTCATCGTTTGCTGGGGTATGCTATATAACGCCAGCTGATCTAAATTTACTTGTTTTAGATTTGTTCGATCAGCCTAAATTGGCTGATGTCCAGTTAAATAAAATATGCCACTTGGTATCACAACCCCATGACCCCCAAGCATATACGAACAAGCTGATGATAGAGTTTTTAATCATTGTCGAACCTCGATTAGATCGGCGCACTGCTATGAAAGCAACACTTCGTTTGAAACACGGGGCAAAGCCTGCTTTTCGTTGAAAGAGACCTGTAACTTATGCAACATTAGCAACAGTAGATGAAGAGCTGGATTGCCTTCAACTACAAGGAGTTATAACTTCCGTTTCCTAATCCAGTTGGGCAGCACCTATAGTCGTTATCAAGAAGGCCAAAGGCACGATACGTATATGTGCTGACTTCTCTACAGGTCTCAACGCAGCTCTAGAACAGCCTCATTGTCCTGTGCAAGTCCCAGCAGATCTGTTCACTATGCTGAATGGGGTAAAGTTCTTCGCAAAGCTTGACCCAGCTGATGCTTATTTGCAAGTGGAAGTCGATGAAGCATCTGAAGAGCTGCTTACTATCAATAACCATAGTGGCTTGTTCCAGTATAACCGTCTATATTTTGGGGTTAAGTCTTCCCCATCTATCTAATAACAATTAATTGATACTATCCTGTCAGATATCTCGGGGGTTGCAGCTTATCTCGATGATATCTTAATTGTTGCGAAGACGTAAGAACAGCTATGGCAACGCACCACACTGGTACTACAACGCATCAGTGACAACCGTTTCTGGTTACGTCAAGAAAAATGCCAGTTTCTATTGCAGTCGGTAAAGTATTTGGGATTCATCTTTGATGTCGATGGTCGCAGACCGGATCCTGAGGACATCCTAGCTATAAAACTGATGCCCACTCAGACCAATGTTTCCGAATTACGATCTTTGTTCGGTCTAATCAGTTATTATTCAGCTTTTGCTCCCTCGATGCATGATATTCGCACTCTATTAAATTGTCTACTGCAGAAGCATAGCACATGGAGCTGGACTAAAGAATGTGACGCGGCTTTCCGTAAACTCAAGTCTATAACAGCTCGGAATTATTATTACCTGACCAGGAATCATCCAAGCAGATCATCGTTGCAGCAGACGCTTCGGCATATGGCCTAGGTGCTGCTATTTCACATCAGTTTCCAGACGAGTCAGAGAAAGCCGTTATGCACGCATCCGGTAGACTGACCCCAGCAGAGAAGAAGCATAGCCAGATAGAGAAAGAAGCGCTTGCCGTTGTGTTTGTTGTTCACCGATTCCAGTAGTTAAGATTGCCGCTTATGTTCGCTAATCGCCGTTTCCATAAGCTTCTGTACGGTCGGAGATTCACGCTCTCCACAGATCACAAGCTTCTGTTAGCAATAGTTGTTTCAAAGACTGGCATTCCAGCCCATTCTACAAATCGTCTTCAGCGATGCGCCTTGGTACTTTTGGGGTATGATTTCTAAATCCAATATCGACGTCTCAGTTTAAAATCGTACCGTTTTACTTGAACCTCACCACTCACTAGCCCGCACACGAACTCAAAATGCTACAAGCACTTGCCTGCAGCGAGCATCACCACCTTAAGACGTTTATTACAAACGACGAGCGGTGTAAAGTAGTGAAATATTGAAATTAAAACATTTATTATTGTACTCAATCCTGATAATTGATTGTTTTATTGTGCAACTCTTGTTTATCTGTACAGAAGATTCTTTCTCGCGGTCGAAGCGTGTTATTCCCATTCCACTATTCACACGTCCCCTGCCTGGATGTTGGCCGATTGCATGCCCTCTTTCTCCGATATTATTTCGATATCACGAGTCTAGTATCGAATATACATCTTCATTTAGATTCGCTTACTTTTTTTTATTCTTAGACTTTAGAAGTTACCATCTGTTTTCTCGCGAATAACAATAATGTCCAAACTACCTCACTGATGAGCTCTGAATTCGAATATGCATCATATTCTCGCGTAACTATAATTTTTTAACCAATTTTCTTACTATTTTATCAGTTGCGTAATACATATCGTTAATTTTATTTATATATTTATATATTTATATATATAAATATATATACATATATATATATAAGAGCTACAGCAGCGATCGAAAATATGGAATTACATCAAAAGCGACTATATTTCACCAGACACACTGGAATTGAATCTAAGTTATCAACC